ACACACACACACACTCTCTCTCTCTCTCTCTCTCTCTCTCTCTCTCTCTCTCTCTCTCTCTCTCTCTTGCTCTTTCTACCTTTTTTATATTGTCTTTTACAAACACGCACACATCCACACACACACAACAAAAACACCAAAACAAAATCCATTATTGTCTACCAATGCCACCTGAAGGCATATGTGACATGTACAAACTGTCGCCGGAGGGCGAGGGCGGGCGCTGAGAATTGTATTTTTTTTTTCTGCGGCGTGAAGGTTGAGTTGAGTCATTTTGCACCCAATTACACCGCAGTAAATTTGTCGGACGGTTCTTGTCGCGCTGTATTGATCCGCCGTGTCACCTTGAACTTGTTTATTGACACATTGAAAGTGGGCCTCTCGATTTAGTGCCACTCAATTATGACATTCATATGACGCCGCTCCTCGCCTGTCACTGTACGTTTGACTTGTTTTTCTCCCCCTCCTCCCCATTTTCTCATCCTCTCTCGCTCTCTCCATCACCTGCCATCTTCTCCTGACCTTTCCCTCAGACAGATGGCACTGTAGAAAGCGTGCTATTAGCACACATGTCATATTATTCCTCAAACACATCCCCTGCTCTTTTTTTTGTAAGTGAGAGGTACTTGTTCAACAAATGGATTTTCAATTTGCCGCTTGTGGGCCCTTTTTTTCTTCTTGGGGTCGATGTAAAAAAATCACTCTGAGAGAGACAAACGGAGGCCGTGACAGAGTGGAAAAGTTCTTGTCCTGTTTATTTATTTATTTATTTTTCAGGCTCTCCGCGATCAAGGTTTATATCACTGTCTAAAAAGTTTTTCACCTTCAAACTGTAATTTATCTGCGCTGAGAATTTTTTTTTTTTTTTCTGCGGCGTGAAGGTTGAGTTGAGTCATTTTGCACCCAATTACACCGCAGTAAATTTGTCGGACGGTTCTTGTCGCGCTGTATTGATCCGCCGTGTCACCTTGAACTTGTTTATTGACACATTGAAAGTGGGCCTCTCGATTTAGTGCCACTCAATTATGACATTCATATGACGCCGCTCCTCGCCTGTCACTGTACGTTTGACTTGTTTTTCTCCCCCTCCTCCCCATTTTCTCATCCTCTCTCGCTCTTTCCATCACCTGCCATCTTCTCCTGACCTTTCCCTCAGACAGATGGCACTGTAGAAGCCGCGCTATTAGCACACGTCATATTATTCCTCCAAACACATCCCCTGCTCTTTTTTTGCAAGTGAGAGGTACTTGTTCAACAAATGGATTTTCAATTTGCCGGTTGTGGGCCCCCTCTTTTTTTTTCTTAGGGTCAATGTAAAAAATGACTCTGAGAGAGACAAACGGAGGCCGTGACAGAGTGGAAAAGTTCTTGTCCTGTTTATTTATTTATTTATTTTTCAGGCTCTCCGCGATCAAGGTTTATATCACTGTCTAAAAAGTTTTTCACCTTCAAACTGTAATTTATCTGAAGGCCACTTCTTTTGTTGGAGAAAACATTAGGAAGCTACTGTGAAGCTCTAGATTGTTTTACTACAACTTACTAATATTTTGAAGTAGTTAAACTGCAGTAAATCTGGAAAAAATGTAGCACTGAAGCTATTTGGGAATATCTTTTAAATATGAATGTGTGTTTAATTCAAATGTGATAATATATACAAAAAAAAAAGTTTGGGTAAGTAAGTTCAGTAGTTTTTTTTGTTTTTTTTTTAAAGAAATGATTATTTTTATTCAGCAAGGATGCATTTATTATTGATCAAAAGTGACAATAAAGACATTTATAATTTCCAATAAATTCCGTTCTTTTCCAACCATTTTTTTTTTTTTTTAAAGGTTTCTAAAAAATATTAAGCAGCACAACTGCTTTCAACATTGATAATAAGAAATAGAGGCTAGTAATGATGCTGAAAATTCATCTTTGCATCACAGGAATAAATTACACTTCACAAAACATTCAAATAGAAAAAAAAGCTATTTTAAATTGAATAAATATTAAACAATATTTCATAATTTTTCTGATTATAATGTATTTTTGATCAAATAAATGCACCCTTGGTGATCTTCTTGACCCGAAAACCTTTGAATGGTAGTGTATAATCACATTATAGATCATTTTATTAAATTACATTTTACTAACTTGATTCACTTAACCACTAGTTTCAAAAGAGGTGACAGCATTAAACATCAATTTTAACAGATTAATTTACTCTGAATAGCACCAATACAAGTAGATTACCCTAGAATTTAAGTTATAGTGATACACAGAAGCATTTAAGTATATTTAGTAAAACTATTACAAAAATGCTGTGGATTATTTACACCTGAGACCAAACAATTAAAGTAGGAGAAAATCATAAATGCTTTTAATTTGTATTTAATTTTTTCAAGCATCAGAAATAGTCATTGGTTTAGCAATTGGTAAAACATTTGGGTTGACCCTTCAGCAAAAATAACTATATCTGTATATATAAGATATAAAATTGTTTCTAAATGATCTAAGCGGCCATACGTTGCCCAACAAAGCCACACTGGCCCCTGATGAGACTGTGGCCCTCGTCACGGAGGTCTGAGGGGCTCCTGTAAGTGTTGACCCCAGACAGCAGCGCTGCAGCACAGATGCTCAGATCCATCTGCTCGCGCTCGGGGTCAGAGATCACCTGTGAATTTCTGATTTCACTCCATCCATCAGCTTTATGATGGTGATGTGGCAGTGTATGCAGAGAGGACAGGGACCGCAGGGGCCCACCGGCTAACCTTCGTGATCTGACTCTGCTGCTCAGAGAATGAATCAGTAAATAAAGAATGGATTTATACTGTTCAGAAGTATGAGGTCAGTACTTAAAAAAGAAAGAAAGAAATAAGTATATTTATTCAGAAAGGATGCATTCATTTGATTAAATTAAAAAATTGATTAAATATAAACATTATCACAGCTTTTTACATAAATATTAAGCAGAAAATTTTTTTTCAACATTAATTATATAAATCTTTCTTGGAGTGATGATGCTGAAAATTCAGCTTTGATCACAGAAATAACTGACTTTTTTAAAATATATTGCAATAGAACACAGTTGGGTAACACTTTATTTTAAGGTGTCCGTGTTGCACGTTACAAGTACTTACTATTATAATAACAATTAATTGTGCATAATTACATGCAAGTAACCCTACGCCAAACCCAAATCCTAACCCTAACTATACAATAAGTACATGTAGTTAATTAATATTACTCAGTATTTAAATGTATATACATGTAAATATTTTCAAAATATATGCTGTATGTATGTGTACTTATATATACATAATAAATATACATGGCACACATACATATACATATATTATGTAGACAAAAACTTTTATTCTGGATGCGATTAATCGCGATTAATCGCGATTAATCATTTGAAAGAAAGAAGCTGTAGTTTTATCCAACAGATGTTATCATGGATTGTAAAAAAAATACAAATAATAATACAAAAAAAAAAAAAATCCTGAATCATAGTCAATCATTATATAATGCAATGCGGTTTGTTAATATTATTAATGAATGCTAAATAAGTTGTCACAAATTAAGGACTAATACAATTAAATATTCTTCAAAATAAACAAATTAATGAGTACATTTGAATCTAATGGTTTTGTGTCATTTGAATTTAATCTGCACCTCTGTCGCGTTTTCGAACACATGGGCTTGTGTGTCATTATCATTATATTATTCCCCCCAAATTCATAAGTGTAACTACAGCAGGCCTCAAGGGACACAAACCACTCCTGCCTCCTTCCTGTCACTTCCTCTGCTTGTCACCCACTTAAATAATGACAATTTAATTTGCCATCTAATTGGACCTGTAAGTTATTTAAATGAAGCTCTTGGTGTGTGAAAAGAGGGCGGCTGAGACACAACATTAACAGCGTAGTGTACTCTCCCATTTTAATGAGAGAGGTCAAAGCAATGAGATGATGTTAAACAAACATCACTTCTCCTTCTGCTTAAATGCCACTGAAAGGAGCAGCAGGCCCCGCTCCGACAGGATTTTATCTTCTCTTGTCCATTCTTTAAATAACATTTAATCATCTCATCCACCCTTCATATTACTAATGGAGCTCCGCGAGACTTGTTTGGCATCTGTTAAACCCTCAGCGCTGGACTCGCCGCTGCTCTCCGTGATTAAAATCACCCACTCACGTTCGTTTAATTTATTTCATTCACTAAAATCTTCAAGCAAATGTTTTTAATACCCACCGATGGTAAGTAAAAATAACCTGGCCTAATATCTTAAGATTAAATACATCTTTTCGGGGAACTAAGCTGCCTTAAGCTCGTGTCCCTCTCCGTCCCGTCTGAATATGGGGTTGTTCTGAAGTCCTGGGTAAAGGGAGCACAGCAGCGTTACTTTAAATGATGATTTAAATACATTTGGTTATTGGATGGCATGGATTCGGTGAACTGCGTACACTTACAGTTTTGGGGTTTAAGGAGAATTTCATCATGAAATTGACAGAAAAGTGCAGAGGGCATAGATACAGGAGCATATGAGGGTAAATCAAAGGTAAAGATTGGAAAAAAGACTTTAATGCATGAGAGCTGCTTACTTTTAATTTTCTTTATGGTGGAGGAGGGGTTCGGCAGAGGGATTTCAGTTTGCCACATTTTTGAAATATGTTCAGGGGTCATATTTTATATTTATACATATATTAAGTCCACTTATAATATTAGTTAGGGTTTAATTTTTTTTTTTTTAAAGGTTTCTAAAAAATATTAAGCAGCACAACTGCTTTCAACATTGATAATAAGAAATAGAGGCTAGTAATGATGCTGAAAATTCATCTTTGCATCACAGGAATAAATTACACTTCACAAAACATTCAAATAGAAAAAAAAGCTATTTTAAATTGAATAAATATTAAACAATATTTCATAATTTTTCTGATTATAATGTATTTTTGATCAAATAAATGCACCCTTGGTGATCTTCTTGACCCGAAAACCTTTGAATGGTAGTGTATAATCACATTATAGATCATTTTATTAAATTACATTTTACTAACTTGATTCACTTAACCACTAGTTTCAAAAGAGGTGACAGCATTAAACATCAATTTTAACAGATTAATTTACTCTGAATAGCACCAATACAAGTAGATTACCCTAGAATTTAAGTTATAGTGATACACAGAAGCATTTAAGTATATTTAGTAAAACTATTACAAAAATGCTGTGGATTATTTACACCTGAGACCAAACAATTAAAGTAGGAGAAAATCATAAATGCTTTTAATTTGTATTTAATTTTTTCAAGCATCAGAAATAGTCATTGGTTTAGCAATTGGTAAAACATTTGGGTTGACCCTTCAGCAAAAATAACTATATCTGTATATATAAGATATAAAATTGTTTCTAAATGATCTAAGCGGCCATACGTTGCCCAACAAAGCCACACTGGCCCCTGATGAGACTGTGGCCCTCGTCACGGAGGTCTGAGGGGCTCCTGTAAGTGTTGACCCCAGACAGCAGCGCTGCAGCACAGATGCTCAGATCCATCTGCTCGCGCTCGGGGTCAGAGATCACCTGTGAATTTCTGATTTCACTCCATCCATCAGCTTTATGATGGTGATGTGGCAGTGTATGCAGAGAGGACAGGGACCGCAGGGGCCCACCGGCTAACCTTCGTGATCTGACTCTGCTGCTCAGAGAATGAATCAGTAAATAAAGAATGGATTTATACTGTTCAGAAGTATGAGGTCAGTACTTAAAAAAGAAAGAAAGAAATAAGTATATTTATTCAGAAAGGATGCATTCATTTGATTAAATTAAAAAATTGATTAAATATAAACATTATCACAGCTTTTTACATAAATATTAAGCAGAAAATTTTTTTTCAACATTAATTATATAAATCTTTCTTGGAGTGATGATGCTGAAAATTCAGCTTTGATCACAGAAATAACTGACTTTTTTAAAATATATTGCAATAGAACACAGTTGGGTAACACTTTATTTTAAGGTGTCCGTGTTGCACGTTACAAGTACTTACTATTATAATAACAATTAATTGTGCATAATTACATGCAAGTAACCCTACGCCAAACCCAAATCCTAACCCTAACTATACAATAAGTACATGTAGTTAATTAATATTACTCAGTATTTAAATGTATAATTACACTGTAACAAGGACACCTTCAAATAAAGTGTAACCCACAGTTGTGAATTGTAATAATATTTCACAATATTCCTGCTTTTACTGTATTTTCGATCAAATGAATGCAGCCTTGGTGAGCAGATGAGGCTTTTTTGTTTCAAAAGCATATCTTTCTAAAATAATAAAAATAATTAATGTCACATTTAACACATTTTTGCATTAAAATGTACATTTCAAAAGATCAAAAATGAACATATATATGGGAAACTTGGAACTAGTTGTCATTGCAGTTTTGTATAGATACATAAATTGTAAATTATTTGATGTAAAATTGTCTGCTGTTTATTAAGACTGTTTATTAGTATAGAACATAGATTTTATTTGAAAAATGTCTAAATGTAATGTAAAAGCCATCTGTGTTTAAAATGTATTATAAACTATATAATAAAATATACCAACAAAGTCTTTAACAATTATATATATATATATATATATTAGTGCTGTCAAACGATTAATCGCGATTAATCACATCCAAAATAAAAGTTTTTGTTTACATAATATGTGTGTATACTGTGTATATTTATTATGTATATATAAATACACACACATGCATGTATATATTTAAGAAAAATATGTTATGTTTATATATTAAATATATTTATATATATATAATATAAAATCTGAGAATATACATATATAAATGTATATACATGTAAATATTTTCAAAATATATGCTGTATGTATGTGTACTTATATATACATAATAAATATACATGGCACACATACATATACATATATTATGTAGACAAAAACTTTTATTCTGGATGCGATTAATCGCGATTAATCGCGATTAATCGTTTGACAGCACTAATTTTAATATTATATTATGCATTTATATTGTTTTACAAACAAATCTAAATGAACATGGATAAA